GAGAAAGGCAAAACAGGAGAACGGACGACCGCGAGAACGGGTTCAGGGTTCAGGGTTAGGTTCACGGATGATCTATACAGAACACTCGACCAAAGTTTTGGACTTGGGTTCTGCAGGGGTTCATATGGGTTCATAATTCATAACCCCTTTTTTGGCCAAGTGTCTACATCAGTCGTCCCTGTCGTCCCGTCGTTTGACAACAGCATCTCGTTTGGATGGTTTCCGCGTGTCGCTCCTCCACCGAGTGAAGCTCTGCCAGCAACTCATCTCTTCGCATGCGAAGAGCCCGCTCGCTGTGTAGCGTCTGGCAGGACGAACACCATTTGCGTTGCCCATGGGCCGCCTCGTAACTGTTTTGAACATAGAAGAACACGTCGTAGAGAAAGTCAAACAACAATCACTGGACTAACGCTATTAACCATGTCTTGAACGGCATATATTACACATATATTGCTCTCTAGTTCTTCCTGTTTGTGCAACCAGTGCATGGCTGAAACATGGGTCGATGTGCCGTCCTTTCGTTCTTAAAGGCCAAAAGCGGTTTTTTCCATGATGTGGAATTGCTCTAATGCACCGTGGACTGCCAGACTGTCGCTTCAGAGGAATTCTAAACTCCACCAAACTCGTCTGGACTCGATCGTCATCTGGTGAAAGGGTCATACATCGAGTCTAGAAAAATTGCCAATGCTCCGTTGCCTAGAGTTTGCATTCAGACTTTCAATGAGCACCTGTGTTGAGGGAGGAGGCTACCTGCTTCAACGGCTGGCTATCCACATTAGGGACGAGCTACGATGTATTGCACTCGGCAATACACCCGACACCAATGGACAAACAACAGGAGATTACAGTAATTACAAAGGGGGAAACATTCAAGCAAACAGTACCATACACGTCATATTGGGTGCAATTGAAGCTTTTGGGGGATGGTTACAACATGCTCCAACATGTTACAACCGCATCTTGTGGATTGCATTTGACGCTTATCCGGCATCAATACGGGTGTGGATTGCCGCTCTAAACTGATCGCAGTGCAAATCAGGTCCCTTCGACACATGAATCAGGAGCACGAAGCCATTTAGCACGCTTCTCGGCACGTCTGACTCACTAGCATGAAAGTGAACAACTCCCTGCACGTACACTCTGACTCACTAACATGGAAGTGGAAAATGGTCCCTTGGAAGACTACTTTACTTTACGAACATGTTTTTTTCCATGTTAGTGAGTCGGAGTGTAAAAGAAAAGTCGCCTTCCTTTCGGGACCACGCCATCCACTTCCATGTGAACGAATCGGATCCAGACATCCGAGCCTGCATGGATCCGGACATCCGAGCCCGAGCCGTCTACATCGCACCGGTGAGAACTTCGGAGTGCTGGGTCCGAGGATCCAGCAACAAAAGCTTGCTACTAAGTAGCTTCTTGTTACTAGTAGCTTCTTGTTACTAGTAATGGCCTCCAACCTATTAGCCATGGCCTCCTAATAGCGTCCTTGCTAAGCATCTGGGTTCTTTCAATGTAGCGACACAGCCAGTTTGTCCAAACCAGCCAGCTTTGCGGCTTTGCTAAAGCCTAGAGCTGTTTGGTTAGTAGAAAACTTAAATCGAATGACCAATCTGTCGGATCGATCTTCTGTTGCTGTCGCTTTTACTGCCAAAGTAAAGAATCCTTACCAGCTCATGCTTCTTATGACCTCCTCATGCCTTGAGCCAAAGAACACGGAAAACAACTCATTATCCTACGTGAACAGGGTTACTCAAGAGCACATCATATACACTCTACAGTATAATATGTATATAATCATACTGTATATAGACTCTGGGTCTATCCTATTCCCATCTATTCCCTGTAACAGTGGATGATGATGGTTAGTAAAGGCCTTGTTCAAAAATAGTGATACAGTGATAACTGTTTACCGACTGTTACAGGTAAGTTCGGACACCCCCTATATCAACTATAGACGCTCCCAATCGAACCGTTGCTTTACCACTCACTGTTTGCATCCGGTCGAAATCGGTGGGATGCCTCATGGTTCACGGCCGCCCGCGTCACGGGTTTCTGGCAAGAGGTGGGTGGACTTGTTTTTTACCTAGAGACATGGCCTGATCGAGCGGAGCAGAATATGGATGGGACATGACATGGTCCCAAGCATCAAGTAAACTGGTTTGGAGGAAGCTGAATTCTGGCAGGCTGTGTTGGGTCGCAGTTCTATGAATCTGATCGAGTATGGAATGGATCTGCTTGGTCTCTGGTCTCTTTGTTTGCCCTTGAGGCCCCGTTGGGCTATCCCTTAATGAGAGATCACCATCTGTCTCAATGAACAGTCAACAATCGCACCAGCCACAAATTGGCCACCAATGCAAAAAAAAGTGATCCCAAAACAACCAAAACAACGCCACCCGAAAACGAGCAGCACAACCAATAATCCGATCCGGAGGCAGTTTTTTCTTTGTGCGCCGTTTCTCAGAGCCGCAGAGCGCAGCTCAAGCATCTGGCGACTTGGTCAAAAGCTTCTGTTTTGCCAGTAGGAAGCTACGACCGGGGCTGGCCATCACTGGCACGTGCCCGGGTTCTGGAGCTCAAAGCCATACATAGCTCAAGTGGTACTTGTTGTAGACCCACAACGACTGACAAGAAACCATGTGTCAGTCGTTTCAACCCTCACACCGACTGATTTCCCCATAGATGTACCACCCCATAGCAGCTGCAGCCCAAAGGTTCACTGGCATATTGAAGATGTCTCAAGATTCAAATGACACATACAAGCCACACAACCACATAGAAGGTGTTTGAGGATGTGTCGGGTCTTTTGGATCTGTAAAAGCGACTTCACCGTACTGGATTCATGGTCATATATTATATCATTCCATCGACCCGGGAAAATGCTCAATCTGACCAAATATGACAAGAATTCAGACTTCGACATGGTTTGGTCTATATACATGTCCTTTTCCAACAGGTATATATCATATATCATTTAAGAATGTTGTTTATACAAACAAAAAGCATGGAACATCAAACAATACTCTCTCAATTGTATTCAATAGATCTTAGATCTCTGCCCACATCACTTGGGACAATATGAATCAAACACCCCATGTCTCACCCCTTGTCGACATGGCTTTTCTCCTCGCGGATTGGTGGCTAGAGCCTGGGATCAGGCACGCAGGGCCCACGAAAGCCCTGTGCGAAGAGGCCACCGTCCACAGAGATCACCTCCGGGTCCACAAGACGAGGGCGAGACGAGGGTGGCCATGATGGAACATCAGAGGGCCAGACCGGAGCTTAGCCTGCTAGCTATAGCCGATAGCCACTAGAAGATAAACTTCCTTGGCATCAAGCTAGGCAGCTAGACAGTACCAATCCTATCCTCTCTAATCTGGTGGCTCCTCAAAGCAAAGAACGAATTGTAAAGTATAAGGAACGTACCTGCTCCTGGCCTCCCTGACAGAAGAATAGAGGTTTGCTGCTCTAAATGGTTACCAGCTTAGATCCAGTCCACTTAAGTGAAGCAAAAACAGTAGGTCGGTAGGACTCCCACAAAGAGAAGGGCTTCCGGTTCCTTAAGCCAAGGTAGCCTTGGGTCCACTGGGACCAGGTTCCTGCTGGCGAGGCGCAACCACTTACAAAGCAGGAGCGAGGACGACCAACAAGATTGAAACGCTCACGTCCTAGCACTAGCACCCCGGCAACATATGAACGTTTGCGTGAACTCTCGCACACAGTATATCAATTTTATGCACAAGTGAAAACAATCACACTTATTGCATGACAAAGCATTATTTGTGAAGCAAAAAAACTTACAAGTTCAAGCACTCAAGATCGAAGTACTCCACTGATCACTATCAAACTATGTATTGCCCTTCAAAGTCAAGCAAACCAACTATTGCCCTTGCCTGCCCAGTGATGTATGCCGCTGCTGGCATACCTGAATGGTTCAGTGGATGTCAGTCATGGGATCCATCCATCCTCCAGTCATGTCCATGAGCAGAATAATAGATGCGGATGCTTTCATCTACGAGCCTTGTATTGCCCAAGACAATGTCTTCCTCGTGACCACAACTATGACTCACATCAGACTGAACAATTAATGTATAGTATTGTATAGTATGTGCACAAAACTGATTACATAAATAACTTAAATAACTACAGATCATTGTAGATCAGTATCACTATCAGTATCGACCACCAAACCATACCAAACCATCAAACTCTGGGCATCCCTAGGCCTCTCCCTCCGCGTCCACTCTTTGCACCCCCAACGACACCGAGAGGCAAAGGAAGGCCACGGCTGCGGCAGTGTCTTCTGGTTCCCCCAGACGCGCCAAAGGAGTGGCCTGAGCGCAGCGAATCGGAGCGAGCGAAGGGGATGCTATTCGCGGCCTCTGCAACCGTCCGCGGGCGGAGTCCAGCAGTTGTGGGGGGGGGGGGGGTCGTGTCCGAACTGAAAAGGCCGACTGCGGAGTTTCTCGCAGCCGACTGCGGAGTTCAAGCCATGAACATCTGACATCTGTGAAGTGATCTGTAGCTTCCGTCGGGGCGATTGTTGGGCTCCGGATTCTCAACATTCCAGCGCCGGTTTGGTCTACTTCCCTGTGGTCTGGTTGGGCTGGTTGGGGGTCAACCCACAAAGTTCAACTCAGTTGCCCTTTGAGCCGGTTGATGTCTGACCATAGTATACAAGACCTATGGCTTGTCTCAGGATGAGGATGCATGAGGGAATTCCAGAACCGCTCTGTAGTACAGCAAGTAGGTCAAGCGAGCAGTTTTCAATCACTTCCGCTGCGCTACTAGTAACAAGGGCCTTACAACTAGTAACAATTGCTACTAGTAGCTAAGGGCAATAATTACTACTAGTAACTAGTAGCTAGAAGCACCAGTCATGAATGTCATTCTGAAACACAATGAAACACCAGAATGCTGCCCAAACTACCCCACGCACCGCCACTTCAGCTTGCTTCACCCCCCAAAAAACACCCCCCCCACCGCGGACCAAGGGAGCGCCCTTTTTGAACCGAAAGAAAGCTCCGAAGCCGAGCACCGCATCAGGGGCGTAAGGCCTGCATCGAACCGAGGTGTCGAGAGGCGAGCGGCCGAGGGAGGCGAGCGCGCCTCCCTGGGAGGCGGGCGTCGTTCCTGGAACCAACGTAGACGGTACATCGACAGTTCGTCTGGACCGGTGTCGGGTGGGGTTGTTGCTGGCCCATTTGGATGATCCTGCAGCTACTTGTGCACTAGCTGCAAAGAGTATGTCAATGACAACTGATTGGTTGAAGGATATTGACGGTTCCGGACCAAGTATTGAGTGATGGCTATGCCAGCGGCTCGTAGGATGACAGGGCGCACCTTGAGTCTTAACTCGACGACAAAGTTCTTGTTCTTAGCACCTTGGAGTTTCTCACGTAGCAGCAAACACCAGGCCAGCAACAAAGTTTGCGCCTCTTTGTTGGGCCTCTTCAAAGTACAGGCAATCGTGGCAAAGGTGTAATTAAATAATCACACAAAACATAAATGAACATTATAACAACTCTGCAAAACAATTCTGGTCTTTTCGTTCTGTTCCACAGGACAAGCATGTATGGTGTGATTCCAAATGAAACAAACACATCCTACCAGCCTTCAAACAACAAAGGGTCATTTGTAGGAGAAGCGACCACTCACCTACACAGCCTTCGCTTGCTGAGGTCGTGTCCTATATACTCCAAAAACATGCAATGCTGACTCTATGATTATATAACATTCTTGATACATTAGTTTAACATCACTCTTGGGGCAAAGCAACTTGCAATCACTGCAGTCTCTGAAAACACTGCATTAAATGCAAAAACAAAAAACGTCATGTGATCTGATCTGAATCAGCTTTGTGAACCTGGCCAAGGATCGTTGGATCTGTGTCTGCCTCCCCCAATCCACCGGCTTCGGCTTCAACTCCTCCTTCACGAAGCCCAAGCTCGGGGGCACAATGACGCGCCGCGTGCCGCCCACACGCATGCCGATGAGTGCACGGCGAATGCCCTCGATGACCTGGTCACCTGCTCTGGGGTGGGCTGCCCTTGGTGCGTTATGTTTCCATGTGTCAAACAGGGCTTCCAACAAACCTGAAAGTGCTCATCGAAGCAGAACATCATGACTCTTTCATTTTCATTGTTGGACATGTTGTTTCATTTATATAACATATTGGTAAGCACAAACAAAGGTAACCCCCAAAGTTGTTGGAACTTTGAACTTTCAGTGGGCCCATGTTTGAACTTATATATAGGGGGGTGGGTCTTGACAGTGATTTTATAGATATGAAATGGTGGTGGTAACCCCCTAGGGAGTATAAAGTGAGCAGTAGGTCTCTATAAAATCATTTAACCTCAGGCCACCATGTGCTTGAGCAGTGACCAGAAAACACATAAAAACACTTCCACGTAGCGCGTACGTTTCTTGGATACAAGCAGCTTTCCTCTATAAAATCCAACCCACGCCCCCCTGGGCAGGGACCATAAAACGTTTTATGGGATACCATTTATAGTCAGAGGATATATCCACAATGATAACTTAATATAACGTTTTAGCACATCCCCTGCGCATGACCCGCCTTTGTCCCCCTTCGGCGAAAACCGCAGCTCCGGAGAGCCCACCCCGAACTTCTCGTCGATGCCACGCCCCGGGTCGAAGCCGAAGGAGGCGTCCACGAAGTAACCTGAGCACAAATGGTGGTCCCACATTGGGTTTGAAACGGGTCCCTGACAAGTCTTCTCGAAATTTGGACGGCCGGTGTCGCGACGGGGCGTATTCTGAATTCTGCAGCCACAACACAAATGTCACTAAGTGGAAAAACACTGGATTGGTGAATATGCTCTACTTCGCAGCTACCCAGCTCTGCGTTTTACATGTCAGTGGTAGTTTTGTCTGTTCGCTTCGTAGGACACTCACATGTTCTCTCTTGCAGCCACTGTGACGTTTCACTGAAGGCAACGGTTTGGCTGGATGCACATTCCCACTGATGTATTTCTTGCAAAGACAACTGTGAGACTTGCACTCTCGAGCACTAATAAATACAGACCCTAGAATCAATATTAATCAATGAATGTTTGGCCTACACCCTCATCCGTGGTGCTTTTGGTTTTGTATGTGGGCTCATCTAGTCTGTGGGGCGGAAGGGTTTATGTATAGGCTCAGGCGAGCAGCCGTTGCTTTTCCGCAAACTCCAGTCCACCACCACAATATCACCCTCTGAACAACACTCATCGCCTGGGCAGCTTGTGTGGGCTCGGACATGTTTGGACCCCTTGCCAGGTTCTCACTAGTGAAGGAGCTGCAGTTGAGATTGATCCACTGAACTGCAAGTTGCAATGGGACATGTTTCAGTTCCAATTCCTAGAAGGCTGTCTATCTGTCTGTCTGTCTGTCTGTCTGTCTGTCTGTCTGTCTGTCTGTCTGTCTGTCTCCCACTCTCTGTCTCTGTCTCTCTGTCTCTCTCTCTCTCTCTCTGTCTCTGTGTCTGTCTGTGTCTCTGTCTGTGTCTGTCTGTCTGTGTCTCTGTCTGTGTCTCTGTCTCTGTCTGTGTCTCTGTCTGTCTGTGTCCGTCTGTGTCTGTCTGGCTGTGTCTCTGTCTGTGTCTCTGTATCTGTCTGTCGGTCTGTGTCTCTGTCTGTCTGTGTCCGTCTGTGTCTGTCTGTGTCTGTCTGTCTGTCTGTGTCTGTCTGTGTCTGTCTCGCTCTCTTTGGGAAGGCAAAAAATGATCCAAATGTCAATTGGCAAAGGAAACACATCAAGTTCAACGTGGGGTGCTTGCCTTGAATCTTGAGGCACACCCACACCCTGAGGCCCTGGTTTCCTTTCACCAGGTCGCCCTTTCCAGTGGCCAAGTCCAGAATCTGTAGACCGTCAGCCATGGTCTTAAAGTCCTGCGCATATGAGAATCGCTACCACCCAGTAAGTCATGGACCCTGTAAGACAATTCTCATCTACCACCCAGTGCGTTTCAGGTCCACGCTAATCTGCAGGAGGGTATCAGTATCAGCGTTACCTTGGTCTAGTGTCACTTCAACATATCCATACATTACATATCCGCATAAACGCGCATAAAGATTTGATTTGAACAGCTGTCTCTTGCGCAAATTTGATACCTCCGTTCACCCCTGCCTCGCGCCGGTGCAGACTTGTCCCTAGTGTTTGCTTCTTTGATTCCGGGGTTTCCAAACCAACTACGGTGTACGGCTGCCATGGGATGGCCAAGGTCTGAAATCGGATGGTCGACCAGTGGTCTGCGGGTCTGCGGTCTGAAACCCAGCGTGGGAGACGGAGAGATCAGGGTAGATACTCACTATTTGTCCTTTTCAGAGCACCTCCGTTCGTAGATGCCTCAGGACACCACCTCTACTTATCGTCGTTAAGTGAACAAACATTTTAAATTAGAACATGAACTATGTAATTGTGTGTGTTTAGTGTCTTTTAGCTCCTTGACATGTTCTCTTGAAGTGCATTGTACTCGTTCAATACATCTCGACCCCGGGCCTTGCCAGTGGAAGGTGCATTGACAACCTCTTCGATGTCAGGAGACAACGTTGAGCCCACCAAGGCCCTCGCTGGACCTGCAAGGGTGGTCTTTACGCATGAAACATCAAGAAACCTTTTCAACAACAAACAAAACAAACAAACCCACTACTCCTACAATCAAGGCCTTGCATTAGCACTCAGCATTGGGACAAAACACTATGTGGCATCTATGACAGCATGTGCAATGGCAGCTAATTATGGTGTTTTTTATCCACCCTGCACTAGAAACCAACTACCAACTCCCGGTCCGCATCGAAATGAACCCATCACCCTTCACCCTTCATCCTCCACCCTCGTGATTTACAACGCGCCGAACACCCCACAGGTTCGGATCGCACCAGAGGCTTTGGAGCCTCCAAGGCCCACAAGACTGGAAAACCCGAGCCACACGTCTCTTCGCATCGGCGCAAACACCTCAGCTGAGCTGAGGAAGCCGAACGGTTCGAGCAGAACGAGGTTTTTGGGGCAGACGGTTCGAGCTGGAAACGGAAGAATGGATTCCAGACTCTGAGTAGATAATACGCAACAGGCTTACTTTTGGTTATGATTGGTGGTGAATGTAGGCCATGGTGGCTGATGGAGCGTTTGGGTCATGTGACTAGATTGGTCAGGCCTCCAGAAACGAGACTGAATATGGTTTTATAGGTTCATGTGCTTGAGATACCCACCACCAAGCACAAAAAAAACAGTGAACAGTTGAATTCCCGCACTATGGACACCTCGAGATCATGTTCTGCCTGGGTCTTACACTAGGCACAATGTATACTATATATATATATGATACCTTATTGAATATGTATATAGGATCCAGGAGTGCTTTTGGATGATTTTGTTTGTTCGATTGAATTTCATCGCTACATACATATATACAAACATGGTAGCCATACAAACACATGTTTAATCGGGTACTTAGGTGCAATCCAATACGTAGACGCACACGGACACAGCGTATGCACTGCAAGGACTTTCCTTGAGGGCAAGGATGCTGCATTCAAGTTTGACACTTTTGCTATCACTGTTTTCTTCCTATATATTTAGATCATAGAACGGGTGTCTGTAAATACAGTGACAAACCAGTATTTCAAGGACAAACAAGGACATAAGCCTTCTTCAACTCGTTCTCTTCCACACTCACTCTCAGTATTTCAGCCCCAATAAACACGACTTTATTTGGCTCTCATATTCAATTATTGATAGAAACGAGAGAAACTTTAGAATAGAAGAGAGAACAGGAGTGGGCACAAGGAGAGCTTGCAAGCTGAGTGGCGAGGCGTGGCTAATAGGCAAGGACATGAAAGTAGAAAGAAACAAACCAAACACGAATAGCCTAAATATAACCTATATGTGGGTGTGGCCAGAAGCCCTGGTATGGATCGTTCCGCGCTGCAACGAGAGTGATCCAAACCCTATGGATCAGAGCGTTGATCCAAGCCCTATGGATCACATGAACGAGTGGCTCACTTGATCCAAGCACTTGATCCAAGCCTGATCCACAGGTGAACCCTGACACAGTGGACTCAAAGAGCTGTGTGAATGTGTGCGTGTTTTTGTTCGCCTTTGTCATGCCAGGTGTCTAGTCTCCCTCCCCATGTCACAAGGATGCATGGAATGCCGGAAATACAAAAACCTCATGCAGGAAAGTCAAGTTCACAATCAGGTGACACTTTCAATTTACTGGCTTCCGGTAAACCATTTTGCTGGGCTCATGCACTTCCAGTTTCTTGGGTCCACCAAGAGTAGACAGGCAGCTGGATTGAGTTCACCACCCATTATCGGCTATCAACAGTTTTCCAATTACAGGAGTGGATTCCGGTAATAGTTGAAAGTGCCCTCCCTGACACAGTGGACTCAAAGATCTGTGTGTGAATGCGAGCGGGCGAAGCAGCAGGAAAAGGCCTGTCTTTGGGAAAGGCGCTTCGAGAGCAGTCTTCACACGCAACCCCAAGCAAGGGCTTCATCAGAGCAACGGCTTTAGCGCACTAAGTTTGTTTTGTAAAAACAAAAAGAAGGCTCCAAAAGCAAAACCTCGAAAATACTTAGCGGAAGGAGCTAAATTGAAAAGTGAAATGGTGGCTGTCCATCCCTGTCCCTTAGCAATCCAAAGGTAAGCGCGGGGAAGAATTGAACTATCAAAGGTTTCTTTCACAAGACTTATAGACTAGCGCCTTATCCATTAGACCAAGGAAGCTTTTGATGGAGGGTGGCTTCTGAAATTAAGAGAGAAGGAACAAAAACACATATTAGCGGAAGCCACGATTGTCAGGATCGGCTGGTGAGCTGACTTCACAACATGGCTTGTGCTTGTCTCCCTGGTTCTAGGACGGCTGCTTTGGACGCCCCGAGTGTCTAGAGGCTCACCTATTGTTGTCTTCTGCTTGCTCTTCTTCTGTTTCTTCTTCTTCTTTCTCTTCTTCTTTCCTTTTCTGTGTTTGTTTCTTCTTCTCCTTCTTCTTCCTCTTCTTCTTCTTGCTTAATTCTTTCATCTTGTTCTTGGTCTGTCCGCTTTTCCTGTGTATTTTTCTCTTCCTTCTCCTTCTCCTTCTTCTGTTTCTTTGCTTTGTCCTCCTTCTTCTTCCTGCCTTCTTTCTGTTTTGTCTTTTTCCTGCTTGTTCTTCCTCTTCTTCTTCCTATGTCTCCTACTTCCGCTTTTTTTGGCTCCATGGACCACCTCCACGAAAACCAGAGGATCCCCCTTCTCGCCCTTTTCAATGCATAGCATCGGTCGCCTGATTGGCATCGGTGTCTACAATTCGAAGCGCCGGCACCTGCCGCACCGGCGCCGTGCCTGCCACACTCGGAAGACTTCTCCGAAGCGCCCGGCGCCCAGGCGGCCTGGCCTTAGAGGTGGAGTTTGGCCACGCGCATCGGTGCCGACTATCTTTCCACAAGGGGACCCGCAGCACACGACTCCTCCACTGTAGATGTTCTGATCAAATAGAAGTCATATGAAGTCATTCAGTTTCCCTGACCTTTTAGCCACAAATAGCTCAAGAGTTCAATCGACAAACCCACCATGCAGCCAAGCACCTGCCAGAGACAGCCTCTTCCTGTTTCAAATCCTTGCCCCGGCCGTCGATGCAAAAAAGAGAGGGATGCATAATGCGTGCTGAAACATGTTGGTGGGCAACGCGCAACAAGCGTGCGCTGGCCTCGGAAGTAGGCCACAAGGCTTCCTGGAGATGATTGGACGTGCCCACTGTATAAAATAGGAATGACCCCCATTGCCTGCACCAGCTTGCCACAAACGTAGGCCGCAGTGCAAGTTGGAAGCCATGCTGCATATACCTCAGTCACACATGAGCAGCGCAAACATCGCAAAACCAAGTCCGACGCACGAGTCTTTTGGGAGGACAGTCAGGCTTAAATGATAGTGCTCAAATGAAGGAGCCACCTGTTGTGATGTTTGCAATGATTTTGGCCATTGCCCTCAACCTGTTTGGTTGCAAGGGGCCTGCTTGCTCAGGGCATTGAATTAAATGAGGGATCACAATAAATGAGTTCCACCTTTACTGTTCTTCACAAGGTGGAACCTTCTCCGAGCAGCAATTATTGCGAGCAACACGGACCCAAGCGATGGACCTGATGGTGCTATAGCTCCTGTCGAAGCAGAAACCTCCCGGGCTCGATCAATTCGAAAGGCGTGGATGGGAACCCCTGAAGTAAGCTCTCTCAAAGTGCCCTATTGCCACCTACCTATGTGCTAAGTCGCCTGGGTAAAAGAAAAAATACCTTAAGTAGCTGCAACTACTGCCGCTGCTTTATGGAAATCATTCTTTGCCTCACAGTTGTTCTACCAAAGAGGAAATGATCGAATGTGTCCGAGCCCAACATATAGGAGAGACAGGGTGCGAGGACGAGAAAAAGAAGAACAAATGGAGTTGAAACTTTCAAACTTTCAAGAACTGTTGCAGGTCCTGCAGCCAAAGACAATCCCAAAGTCACGGGCTCCATCCCTGCCTTGAGCCTGTATATATGTAACTTCTTTGAGTCAGCTTGAAGGCTTGAACCGCTCAACGTCGGAACCCGAATGAGACCCGTGGCCATCACGCTGTTTTCAGTGCTCAGATGCTTTGCTCACTGGCCAACATGCATGTCTTGAAAAGCGTGTACGACGGTCTTCTCCTGAGAAGGGACGAGGGAAGCACGACAAAGCAAGTTCTGAATCTTCTTTTACAACCAGTTGAGGCAGCACCATGTTCAAGAGCTGAATCTTCGAGATTCCATAACAAAAGCATGGGCATAAAACAACATACAATAAAGAAACACAATTAGATAGACCCATTCATTCATTCCTTCATTCATTGACCGATGACTTAGCCTCAGGCTCGCAATGCCATCGCACGGATGCCACGATCAAGCTCTGCCGTTCAGGAGGCGACATAGATGATAGGAACTCCCTGTTTCACTGGTAGACAGAATGCATCAAAACAAGACATAATACCTCATGAGCCAAATTCCAGATTCTGAGCTCTATCTCCTTCCTAGCCAGCAGCTAGTCAATCTCCAACCCTGCCAACCCCCACTTCGCCTCAAAGTGCTCAGCTTGCGCCACCGCCCGCAGCGCCGCGAGGCACTGGCAGAAGGCCTGCATAAGTTCCCCTTTGGCTTGGGATTTGTGCCTTCTTTCTGTTGTTTTCGCCGCCACCGTTCGATCAAATTACAAAAATGATACACAGTATGCTTTGCGGCTAGAGAGGACAACTGTGGTTTGGGACCCTTGCGATCGCACCAGCGGTTAAAGCGGGCAAAGGTCCTCTCAATAAAGGTTGAAGTTGGAACAACCCGGTCAAAGACCGCGTCCAGAAACAACAACACTTCATCTGACAACAGCGCCTCTTGGTTTGTCAGCATGGTTCGGAGCTTGGAGCTGAAGCCATATCCAGGAAACATGGACGAGTTCATCTTCAGAGCTGCTGGATGTAGCCCGCGATGGAGATGGAAAGCAACGGCGAAAGGCCTCTGGGAGCCCCAAAATTGCTGCAACGCTGTGACCTGGCATAAGCCTGGGGCAACAGCCGTCCACTTATTCAAGGCTGGGACAGTCAGGTCATTGAGGAACACCTTCGCAACCAGGCCCCCTCCAAAGTCTCACCATGGTCGGCACAGCAGCCACGGCAAATATGCTCGGAGGTCCTGTCCAGGGACACATCGAAAGGCAACGCGGAGCAAGTTCGGAAGCGATCGAAAACAACTCAACATGAAAACCACCAACATATACTTGCGCCACCTTACCTGCCCTTAGCCCTACCCACCCCGCCAATCAGTAACACAACAATTAGTAGGAAGCTTTGAAGCTCAAACCTGGCCAGTGGCCCTGGCCTACAACCAGGGTTTGCCAAGCCAGGGGTTGCGCTCGTGCCATGCTACAGGCGGGGGCCGCAAAGGCCTTCCGTTCCAGTTCCGCTGCAACCAGTGGGCAAATTTCACCTGGCATCTCAACGCCAGATCGACCTGGAATCGAAAGCTGCAACCAAAACAGAACAAAAGAACTACAAGCAACAAAACCAAAGCGGACCAAAAAAACAAGTGAATTGAAGAACAAGGCGCGCACCCAGCTCCATGGACATTAGGCTGGTTCACAACGTTGGATACCACGCATTATTCTCACGCCGGCCTTGCGATACATGCTCCATAGGATTGCCCTGCTTGTGTGAAACATGCCATTGGAGCAGGCCAAGTGCAGAGCGGTCATGCCGTTGTTACTGCGCACCTCCAGTGCCACCTGTGATCCAAGGGCTTGGATCACACACCCACCTTTTGATCCATACCCCATGGATCGAGGTATGGATCGTGTGTGGGTTTGGGTGTGTGATCCAAGGCTTATGTTTCTGGCCGTAGCCATGTAAGCTCTTCCAAGGCTCCTTGTCCGACACAGGCTACAGCTTTGTGAGCAAACCTCTTGGCCTAGCCCTTCATGCCTCATACTCTTTACCATCAATCTTGATCATTTGCAACAATCCTTTCATCTTCAATACTCAAGACTTCAGGCTCCAATCGCTTTGCCCAACAATGTTCCACTGTACTGGCCCCGACTCTTTTCTACCCTTAGTAGTCCTGTACCCTACTCCGTGCGCAGTCCATCTTAGCCCTCCATTCTGGGTGGTTCATCCAAAAGTTGGAGGCGCGCCTTACGTGCGAATTGACAATCACCAAGTGATCATTGTCTTTTTATGCTTGGGGCCTATACACAAAAACAGAACCTTGGCCCAAGCTTTCGCGAGCTTTCGCGGCTGCGAAGGGTGCCTACGCGATGCACATGTTTATCAAAGTTGCCTACGCGAACGCTTTCGCGGTGCATCGGACAAATCCGTTTCTTCAGCCAGAAGACATTATTCAGTGGCAGAGGCAGGTGAAGATGAAGCAGCAGCGGGCGAAGCAGTGCAAGAAGGCGAGGCAGCTTGCAAGGAAGCAGTTTGACGGCGTTGCTTTGCTTGCTTGTGTAGGCGAGCAGCAGCTTGGGACAACAAGACCTCTTCTCCACGAGTTGCGGGGAGGTTTTGTGGCTGGAAACTCTTCTGGGCCAGGCGGCGTCGGAAGGGGATTGGTTGGGTGGAGGCTGTAGGTGCTTTCGCAGAGCTTTCGTGGGGATCAGCTTAGATCTTGTGCTTTGACGGTTCGCAATCGGCGACTTCGCGCCTCCGCACCAAATTCATCCTTCACACTTGAACATGTCACGTTTCCACACTATTTCACACGAATCTGACACTTCATGCTTCCACCCAAAAAACAAGTTGAGGAGAAAGCTGCCCGACCAAACATTTCATTGCACCACTCCAGTAGCTACCCTGGAATGAAGTGCTGTGAGATTGTGTGCACGTGTGAGATTCATGCTTGCCTTTATACCACTTACCTTCACTATATATATATATATATATTGATTTCGCAGTTTGCTTTCGCGGCTCAAAAATTGGATGGTTGCGCGGGGCGCTTTCGCGAGCTTTCGCAGAACAAGAAGCTTCACACATTTGCTTTCACGGAAAGTTAACAAGTTCCACTTTTGCATGTGTCCTTTCAATTGAAAAAACAACGTTGATCAAGTATGATGGAGTAGAGTGGCTGCGGCAAAGTGAAGGAATGTCTACCATACCCTACTCTACCGCGTCTTTGTCTTGCTGCATTGTCTTTCGCTATCAGTCTGAAAGAACAGGGAAGGTCAGAGTACTGTAACGTTTAGTAGAGTAGTCTCAGCCAGCGGAGGAAAACAAGCAGAACGGATCAATCTACTTGACCTGACCCGTCAACAATTCTGTGCGCCTTTCTCACCGTACTGTGTTCCATTGTTAGTCATAGTCTTCAAGGGTAGAAAAAAAGGAAGAGGAGACTTGCATTGGAAAAGAACATGGAGAGTACAGGAGTGCAGTTGATCCACATATAAACTGATTTCTAAGTTTTATCTCCTGAGCACACCAAAGCTTTTTGAGCTGCTGCACACCTTTTGTTTCACTGTTATATGTCTTGCCCTTTATGCTACTGTGTACTCAGTACTCTGAATTGCATGTGTCGCCGTCAAAACTACTGACTCGTTGCTTAGCACTTCACACTTCATGCTCTCGGCCTTGGTACTATAATCTCAACTCTTTATCAGAAGACTTCAGGCCTGAATCGCTTTGCCTGCACTATTCCTCTCCACCCTTCTCTCCCCTGCGCTAAATAAACCAGGTGTTGATGTTCGCTCAGAAGCCATCTCCAACGCTCGTGCGCATGACACCCAGGAAGCCGCGAAGGCCAGCGCAGCTAACGCTCGGAGAACGTGAGGACGTCGAGACGTGACCGCCATGGCGTCGAGGACGCGTCGAGCTGCGTCGATCGATCTTTCGAACGGATCGCCGGCCGAGCGAGGCGCTCGAGGCGGTGGACGTTCCAAGAGAGGATGTCTGTCTAGGCACTGGAGTGAAAGGGCACGAGGATGTGATCAATTTAAAGTCCGGGTTTCACTTCTCTGTCCGAGCTTCATGACTCCCTCTGACAGTCACAAATAAACATCATAGGAACGAAACATCACACGACACCATCCTCGGCTACAAATGGGATGTGAAGTCCATACTTCGTCGTTGTCTGACTCCCTCGTGGGTCGGAAACGGTGGTCTACATCGGTCACCATCGGACACTGGGAGCAGTTCCCGCTCCGTACAAACGGTGGATTTGTCTCATCATGTCTCATCTGCGGGACATGTCCTGTTCTTGCAATCGATGTCGAACCATTATCTACAGTACATGGCCAGCATCGTGTTCACAGCTCTGGGGGCCCTCCTAAGATTTTGGTTACCCATATGATCTATATACATGATAATTGTATCTATGTTATTGGAAATATTAGAAGCTAGTTGGTTCAGGGCAGTTGATGACCACATTCTTCCACCCAAAGACTGTCGATCCTTGCTTGAGCCCGTCGCCGGCCCGCGCGTCCTCTGTCGCTCGGGCCAGCCCCGGTTTCGCCCGGGTTCATTGGTCGGGGGGATCCCCGTCTCAAGCGGTTTTGATCTTCAATGCGGCCCCAGCTGGTTCATCCTGGTTGTCTGAACCCCCCCCCCAAACCTGAGAAGCTACCAGTAGAAGCCACTTCTTTGAAGGGAATGACTCTTAAGAGGCCCCAAGTGGTCCCAGCCTTTGGAATTAGCCATGGGCATCCATGGGCCAATTCACCAGAAATATGTTGAACACGAGGATTTTCGTCAGCCTCTACTGTAACTCAAGGAGCTCGAATAACTGGAGAATCTCTTCGATATCAACAAATATCAACACAATTCAACACATCTTGAAACATCCACATGCAGCTGAATGCAAACCAGTAACCAGTTGAGGTGTGTAAGTACATTAATAGTGTCACCACTCCTGCTAATCGTCACCGCTTCGCTATTTCCGAGGTGCGAAATCCGACCGTCAAGAACTCCAAGGCAAAGCATGAGTTGATCGCAGTGAGGCTTTGACAAGGTTCCAAACGATACTTGAACAAACGATACAAGGTTGCAATAGCCAACAAGTTACCACAAAGATCCACAAAGGTTGTCCCTACACTCCCTGGAACTAACATGGAAGTGGACAATGGCCTCTTGGAAGACCATTTTCCTCTACAAACAGGGTGTTTTCCACTTCCATGTTAGTTCCAGGGAGAGTATCCCAAACCAAGCTCGGACAAGCAAAACTTGGTTCATGCTTTCGCTTACTCTGGCTCGATCTTGGAAGTTTCGGACCTAAAACAATTAAGCAACCTCTCACCGGTCAAGCAGTGCTCATTGTCAAGGATATCCGCAAGCCCTTCCGAACACTGAGCAACTTGGGGCAAGTTGCACGTTTCACATCCTCCAATTGCTGAGGATTGTTCTTCACCTAGGTGATCTCGCTGCTGTGGCTGGTGCGCCAAGGAGGTCGCTCTGCAATTGCCAAGTTTCTCATCCCACACGGAACTGAGTCGGAGTTCGATATCAAGGGTGCCTGTTGAGTTGGTATGAGACGTCAACGATACAGAATCTGGAGATCACCTCTGATGATCGTTTTAAGGATTTAAAAGGCATTTGCAAAGTCTTTTGCCTCTACAGGGGGTGGCCACACAAATGGAAGGGAATGGTTGAAATAATATGAAATACTGCATTGGCCTGCCACACACTCTGACCAACATGGTGTGCAAAGGAAGTATGAAGTTCTGCAAGTTCGTTGGAGTTAGAGCTGACCATGTTCCTGAAACCCAGGACACCTAAGCGAACTTTTTGCGGTCCAAGTCACAGCCTCTTCCAACAATGGAGTTCGCGCCATCCAAGGGCATACCTGCAGGTTCCAGTTGAAAGTGCAGATTAGTAACTTAGTAGGCTGTCATGGTCGTTAAAGAAAAATAACAAACTTGTTTGATCTGTCAGAAGATTGCGACATTTGCGACAATTCAATCTACCAGCTTAGGCAGCTCTAGACCGTGGACCCAAAAGTTGAACGATTCTCCAAGGTTCCGCCAGCACGACCAGCGGGACCACCCCACCAAAGGACGCCAAGAGACACAATTCACTCGGATTCCGAGTGGGCCCCATTCGCCTTGGTAGGGCACTGAGCGTCTCACCATCGGGTGGGACATCATGACTATACCAGGAGCGATCAGGAGGCAATGATGTGTTTTGTTATGTTTTGTTTATGCGTTTCAATTGCGTAAGTACCATGAAACGCCCAGAATTCCTGTAAGGAGGCTGTCCACATCGATCGAAAAAAGGACCATCCATGGTCCATTCACTTCACCCCTGTTCACCCGTACAATTCTCCTATGAATCGTACGAGTGGGATGCTTCCTCCTCTCCTAACTGCACCCCAACTTCTGTCCAAGAAACACGCAAGGCTGCATGCCAGGTGAGCCATAGCCTCAGCGAAAACACGTATCGCCGTGTGGCCTCAAGTTGGAAGAGCCATGAACAGGTTAAAACATCTTAAAACCGGGTTCATCATGGTTCATCCAAAAATGCTGTGAGTTCCTCCACAAACATTCGATGTATTTCTTCACCGAGTCAACCGAGTGTCTCATCCATTTCCAATTTGCAACATCGAAACGGTTCACATCCCAAACAGGTCATGACAGTCTTCACCGGAGCCAAAATCCCACTGAAGATTGAAGCTCATGATCTGATAGCTCATGGAGTTCTAGCTTCTGAGAATGGTTCACATCCGAATGAGTTTGGGCGTCATCCGCATGTCAAACTAATTAGCTGTTTTCCTTACTTGGAGCTGCTTAAGGATTCGGATTCAGGATTCGGGAACAAAAAGGTCCATGATATTCTCCCGAAGGAGATTGACCCATAGGGAAACCAACCATCGCCAGCATTGCACGAGGCAAAATCCGCTACACAGCCAAACTCATCCAAACTCCAGTGATCTGACCCAATCAAGCTCCTTGAAGCGTGCGAGAGCGTGAGCGACGACTTACGTCCATACTTGTAGCGTCCTAAGCACTAGGAGCGACTCCTCCCCCAACTCCAACCAAGCGATCGCGTAGACCGAGCGTAGACCGAGCACCGCACCGCCTTGGTCATCGCGTAGACCGAGCCGGTACCTGTGCTGCGCACCCCCGCGGCGCTGGAGATATTCACCTCGGTCCCCCGGAAACTGGTCCAGAGCGCTCGCTTCACCGACCGGTCCCCATGGGGAAGCGGTTGAAGCCGGGACGTGGAAGCCGGACGTGGCATGCGGACCGAGCTGCCAACTGAGCGGACCGAGGATTTGGGAATGATCCACCGAAGCCTTCGGACTTAGAGATTGAGGGACGGCATGGGACGGCTGCTGGGATTGATGAGTTTCAAGGTATAGAGTCAGTGAAATGAACGAAAAACGTGGGGACTTTGGTATAGCATTCACTGAGATTTGGTGAACTTCACTAAGGGTTCGGGTTCAAAAACATCTGAAACAAGCAAAGTCCTCCCCTCCTAGCTTCACTATGATATGATGCACTCCAAGCCCATTTTGAGTGGGAAGCAAATATGTAAAGCTTCCTATGCTCAAATGAGGGTCAAGGCGAGGGGCAGTTGATGAAGAATCACACGATTCCCTGCCCAAACAAGAGCATGTTTCGGAGTTTGACTGCAATAATTAAGCCACGTTCGATCCTAATTCTATGATGATTGAATCCTTCACAGCAACAAAACCTGGCAACACAATTCCATGTCACAAACCATGTCAAAAAAAAGACAAGGATAAGGAGCCTCTTTTCATCTCTTTTCTATAAATCCATTGTCAACACGTTTCACCTCATGGTCAACATTGGTCTCCCTCCTGGATTCTGCTGCCCAGGTGGCGACGGAGCCCCTGGAAGAGCGCCCCAGCATGGGCTTGAACATCTTGCCTGCAACGCGAGGTGCCAGTGGTGAGTTGCGGAGCCAGGACAACACAAGAACCGCCCAGTTGGAGGATGGAAGTGGAAGCCAAACTACTCAGTCAACAGGATCGTCCAACAAACACAACACATTCAAAACAAGGACTTCCATGCTTGCAAGATCTTGCGAGCGGATACTAAAGTCCGCCCGCACACCTTCGGTGCTGGGGCCCGTGTGTATCCGGCTGGCATAGTCAATCGCAAGAGTTCAGCTTTAGCTCGGGAGACCCATTGTCGGGTTGTCGAAACCAAAGTTTTGAAGGTTAGTTGAACATCGAGTGCCAAAAACGTCGTAAATAACAGCATTTGAAGAAGGCTTTGGGTCGCGCAAATGTCTGAGGCGTTCTTGAAACAGTTGAAAAAAGCAACGACGTCGGGTTTGTGAAGATTTGGTCAAACATAGCCAGGTAGGACCGGCATAAACAAACATCGGCGGCTTCATGGTACGGCTCTAGCTGGCTAGGGGTTCGTATTAGCCAGGCAGAGCCGGGACGGAGTCCAACTATCCTATACTACTGCCCTGCTGATACCAACTAGGAAAGCAAAGAACACAGCAAAATAATTGAAAGGCTGTGGCCGGGTTCAGCAGATAGCTCTGCGGTGTGGGCAGAACCAGCCGCGTAGCGGCGCGAATAATGTAACTCATGACATATACATAATGTCACATGTTCATAGTTGAAGACTTGGGGAACGATTCCTCAAAAGCCGAGAACAACGGCACATCTCTAGCTCCAAGAAGCGCCCTCCACGGAGTCTCTGGGAACTCCCAGGCTGGACGAGGCTCCCAAGACTCGTCCCTCACCACCCAAGGTAAGGAGCGGAATGTGGATGTGTTCATACTGGATCTGCCAGGTTCATCCAGGTTCTGCCACAGATCAAATCTCGTTTTGGATCTTGTGTTGCCACCGAAACGGGAGTTCATATTGAGTCATCATCAACAGATCTCAATCTCATGAAGGGGTCTGGGCAAAAGTCCCTGCAGTAACGGTGGGTGCAAACACTGCAAGTATCCTTGCAAGGGAAAGGCATGAA